GGGGTCTATTTAATATTTATAGGTATTTTTAACCTATAATCCTTGGAAGGGATTTTGGTAAAATGGACATCTTGTGTATGGACTAGGACTACATCAAGTACTGAACAGGGAAGATTTAAACTTAAATTTCACCAGCCCTGTTAAAAGAACAGTGAGAGTTCAAATTGAATATCAGTTCTTTAAAGACAAATAGTTAAATCGTAGCAATTTAGTTTGCCATCGTTTTTGTTGTGAATTTGATAAGTTCCACTGATACACCCAAAATGCTCCTTTTATCAACTTCCCTGAATTGTTCATTTATATTACATTAAAGGGATTTTGTTAAACTCTTCTTGCATACAGTAGCAGGACAAGAATCAGGATAAGAGAAACACAGTTCATAACTTTTGGTGAACTTGTTAATATAAACTAAAACAATTATAAAGAAAAGAAATGAGAATATCATAACAGGAATGACGACTTAGGTGATTAGGACCGTTTTGCATGGACTTAAAGAGATTCCTGTTCATAACAGTGAGGCGATCTCAGATAAAATAGGTTAGAAGAGGGAGGGGCAGACCAAAATTAATATTGCCAGCCGTGGTTGCTAAATATCTAGTTGCTTTAGATCTTAGCACTAAACTGAGTGTAAAAAATGGATTAATGTGATCAATCCCAGATTTATTGAGAACAAGACTTAGTTCGTTGTTACTGGGAAAAGAGGGGGTTGGGTTTATTTGTAATGGAGTTGAGGTGAGTAAAATAACAAGCTTTAGAGCTTGGTTTTGATGATTTGATCCTCTGCACGTTCTTAAACCATGTTAAAGAGAACTTTTTCTGTGCACTAAATTGTTCAAGCTCTGTAAACCAAGCCATTGAGCTAGATACAGGTAAGCTGAAGTGGCTTGGTTTCACTTGTGTATGTACTTGATTTGTAAGTGTACCAGCCTAATTTTAACCAGATTCAATAGACTAATAAAAAGTCTGTGTTGGGTTGAGTTCTTAACCAACCTCAAGGGCTCTTAAATAAAATCCAAGGTGATTCGAAGAAGTCGTCTTCATGGTACAGATTTAGCTGACATGTTCTTTCCAAACAGCATTTGAACAATTTCTTGATAGTAAAATGCCAAATAAAGGAGGAACTGTCAGGAGGGAATTAGGTTATACTTTGGATAGCTAAATTATTCACCATGTCCTACCCGATTAGATTTCATTTATGGAGCTCTTTATAATGAACTAAGTTGTTCATATCATCAGATTTTTTGCTTGGCCTTTGTCGCTTCTTCACGAACATCATTTTCTGATATTTGATTCACACTCTTGCATGTTTCTTATGAAGCCGAATTAGTGTTTATTACATTATAAATGGTACCCAAAACTTAGCAACTTCCTCCTTTTCTTTTACGTAACTTTAGCAACATCAAGTTATCTGTGATTAGGAACTGTGAATTTTCTGTACTTTAATCTTCACAAACAGCCGAAAAGGTGAAAAGTGTTTTTATTAATACTTTATCAATTCAATTTGTAGTGCTCTATAAGAATTTACGAACTGTGAATTTTCTGTACTTTAATCTTCACAAACAGCCGAAAAGGTGAAAAGTGTTTTTATTAATACTTTATCAATTCAATTTGTAGTGCTTTAAAAGAATTTACCTGAACTTATATTTGAAGAATGTTTTTCTTTTCTTGTACTTCATTATAATTTCGAGTGTGTTTTTTGCAAATTGACCAGTGATGAGGAACCAATTGCCTTCAAGAAGATGTACCAATTTTCCGAAGTCGATGGGTTTCTGCAGATAGCTGAAGAATCAGCAGATATGATAAAATTCGTGGCCAATGAACCCTCTGTTGGACTTCATTACGTTCAACAGCACACCCAAAATGCAGTGCCCAACCTTATTAATCTTAAGAAAAAGGTTTTTGAAAAATCCCATGAAACAACTTTGCATTCAGAAGATTTGGAGGATTCGATTACCATGGTTAGATCGATGAAAGAATTTGGCTTCCCGATTGCTGATGAGATGAGCCGAGAGATTAAAAAATCTCTTGCTATCATGGCAAAAAAACAACCAAAGAAAGGATTGCTAAATAGCTCAGGACTTCGTATTGGAAGAACCAGTTCTTGGTCTCCAGCCACCTGGGGTCGTAATGCAGTTCATTCAAATCCAGGGGAGGAGAGGACGACTGGTTATCTCTCAAGTGTTTTCCAGTCTGCAAAACAAAGAGCTGAAAATTTCAAATGGGCTCGAGTTGAGTTGAAAGAATCAAGCCTTCCTGAGGGTGAGAAGCTTTTGTCCATTGTTAATCCCACACGCTCACTTGTAAAGGCAGTTGATGGTTCGTCCTCATCAATGCCGGAGGCCGAGGCCAAATATTTGCCATTGTCGAGTGAAGTTGATGAGCTTCAAGAAGAATCTCGACTTTATAAAAGTTCCTCCCATCAAGAATTCCTCTCATTATCAGAGACATATCACGAGTTCAAGGCAGATCAAGAAGCAAAACTCAAAGAGTGGTTGGGAGATAAGGGCAATGAGGATCTTCATCGACTAGAGAAAAAAGAATTGCATAACTGAAGTTGGTGACCTGGTGAAGTCCATAATCTATGTACTATAAGAAAAAAAGATGAATGTGTTTGATTATTGACACAATAACCATGTTCGTATCTTTGAAATCTAATTGCTTGTAATCTTAGTGCTGTTAGTTTGTGGCATTTCCCTTATTGTTAAGACTTTTCATCTGTTTTCTGTCCAATATAATGTCTGTATGCGATTTGCAAAATAAAATAGATTTATTTTCTTTTGTTACAGTGAAATATTAGCATTACGGCTTTACTATTCTTCATGCTCAATGAAAAAGGAATATATACGAACTCAGTTCAAAGTTTACATTTTTACAATTAAAAAAATTACCAATTCAGGATTATTTCTCCTTGGTTTCATTGCTTATTTAAATAATTTATTCAATAAGCCATTCATTTTTATCGCCTCGTACTGAATTTTGTAAAAAATACTGTGAGCATTTTTTTCTTGTTCCCAGAAATGTAGCTACTTCCCTTTTTGTGTGTGGCCTTGCTCGTCAATGTTAATTTCGCAACATATTCCATAGTTTTGAATGGGGTATTCATGGCTTCTTCAAAAGTGGAAAAGGCCTCCGGCAAGGTGATCCCCTATCCCCCTTCTTGTTTCTGCTTTGTTTTGAATATTTTCCTAGAATGGTTAGGCTGCCACAATGTTTGTGAATTCAACTATCACCCTAAGTGTGGCCCCTTAAAGATCACTCACTTAGCTTTTGCGGATGATTTAATGCTCTTTGTAAGGGGAGCTGTTATGCCAATGCAAATTCTAATGGTTTGCCTTTCAAAATTTGGTCTTGTATTGGGTTTAAGGATGAACATCCAAAAATCCAGCTTGTATATAGTTGGTATTCATGGCTAAGATCTTGATGATATTCTTGAACTCACAAATTTCATGAAGGGTACCATGCCATTCTGTTACTTAGACATCCCTCTTGCTTGGGAAAAGTTCAAAGTTAGTTGTTATGCTCATTTTCTTAAAAAAATTACAGCTTATATTGATGCTTGGAATTGCTCTTCGCAATCTTATGTGGGAAAGTGGAACTTATTATAGCTGTCTTTCAAGGTGTTGAGTGTTTTTGGCTTTCTATTTTCCTTATTCCAGTTACAATTATCTCAATGATTATTAGCCTTTGTCAGAAATTTCTTTGGGGATCCAAGAAGCCTTTGGTGACATGGAGGGATGTTTGCCTTCCAAAAGATGAAGGGGGTCTTGGGCTGAAGGACTTGAAAAGTTGGAACTTAGCTTTACTTCCTAAGTCTCTATGGAATATTCATGAAAAAAAGGATGCCCTTTGGGTAAGTTGGGTTAACCAATTTTATCTTAAAAGGACTTGTATTTCGGATGTTTTACCAAGGAAAGATCACTCTCCCCTCTTCAAAAAATTGTTGGAAATTAGGGACACGTTGCAAAAAATTGCTGCACAACTCCAGATTCATGCACAAGGGCCGTGCTGTCTGTTCAAGTGGTTGGAGACAGCAACCTGATTACATCTACTGGAAGAACCACAAATCAACGTCAGAACAATGAGCGTTTTCAGGCAGTTTTGGACAGATTTGAGGCTTGGTCAATTGGTGGAAAATTCTACACAAAAATAGCATATGATTACTTCCGGTCGAGAGGTACTAAGAGGATTTGGGCTGCCGATGTTTGGAAATCTTGCATAATACTGAAGCACTCATTTTTGTTTTAGTTAGGAGTTCAATCTAAACTCCTAACTAAAGACAAATTACAATACTTAAATATCCATCGTAATTGTGTTCTTTGTGGGCATATGGTGGAAACAGGTCGACACTTATTTTTTTGAATGTTCTTTCATATCGTCCTTATGGAAGAGCATTAGACAGTGGCTCAACATTAGAAGATCTATGTCAACACTTGTTAGTGCATTGAAGTGGATGAAAAAAGAGGCCCACGAGACATCATGGCTCATCAAGGTTAAGAAGATTACACTTGCAAGTACTGTCTACTACATTTGGTTAGCACGTTTTAGGAAGATTTTTGAAAACCTTTCACCTCACTTGGATTGTATTGTGAGATGGATCAAGACACACGTATACAAAGTTATGTTCTCCTTGCATTCGGATGTCTTGATCCATTTCGAGTTTTTAGTCTTGGGTCATTGACTTTTTATGCACTTTACTTATTTTGTATTCCGGGTATGCCCGAAGTAATTGTACGAAATATTGGCTTTGTTTTGTCCGGGTATGTCTGATATACTTGTATATGAAAGTTTTGATCAATGAAATTTACATTTACCGATTAATAAAAAGAAAAAAAAAAACATCTGCAGCATGTTTGAAACAAGAGAATGTATTGAACACTATAATTAGAAAATGCTGAACATGATTCTTCCTTTAGTCAAAAAGCAGTATTGATAACCATAAAACCTCCATAATCATTTGGTTTCTACTTTTCTTTCCAACGACACTTCCGGTCCATAGAACTTCTTTTCTCCCTCTACTGTACCAACTCTGAACCAAGAATATTTACAAGAAACAAAAGCAAAGATATCTATCACTCTCCTGATTATTGGTATTGAGATATTTTTCGTTCGATCCCACGGAGCATGAAGAAACGAAGATCCACATTAATCACAATCCATGGATTCACTCCCAATCCCACATCAGCTTTTACACCATCTTGGTAATTCAAATCCCTGTAAACAACAAAATTCAAGGGGCAGGTCGAACTCATATTTTGAACCACATAAAGAATGCCCACAAATAATTTCAACGATTATAGCATTTATCACACAGGGAAAGCAGGATATAATAGCAAATTATAAAGGAGCGGATGCACCTCCATTACTTTTTTAAGAATTGCCGGAAATTTTTGTGAGAACAAGAACTTTAGTAACAAGTAAACTCGATTCAGAGCATCCACGAATAAATACAAGGGAACTGGGTGGTTCACAATGCACAATTTCCCAAGACAGATCCGATAACATTGTCAAATACCCCCACCCCCACAAAAAAAAAATAATAATAATAATAAAAAAAAAAAGCACTAGAGATAAGGGAAAAAACATATTGGAGTCGACAAATGAAGCTAGAGGGTACGAAATAGAGTTGATAATTACAATGTTAACAATCTGCAGTCTATAACTAACAGGAAGATAATCAAAGATTATACTCTGATCTCCTAAAACTACGTCCATATCATTGCATTCTTCATACTGGAAACTGAAAGGCGCAAGTCCTGTATACAAAAGTCGCACTGCAATTCTTTAGTCATTGAAATAAGTAGCTAGAAGAAAATCCATCCACGAGCTCCTACAGTTGTAAGCTTTCACAATAGATGATGCCAGAAGGTAATTATTAATACAATAACAGAAAAGAAAAGAAATATATAAAAGGAAAACCTTTTGGGCCTGATCAAATAATATGGAGAAATGGACTTGTAGCTTTCTTTTCAAATCTTTACCTGCCAGAATTCTTCAGGGTAAATCTACGTTCAAGTGGACTTCATTTAATTGGCTAAGCAAATATGATGGTGTAGAGCTATGAACTCTATCATATGGACCACACAAGAAAATATTTGACAACTTTCAATATCATTAATTATGCTAGGTAATAATATTACCACGTTAGTTGCCAAAAACAGAACAATGAAAGCATATTCATTTCACTTAATTTTCCTATTACCAAGGATCATTAGTTCAAGTGGACTATCTACTTACATGGCGTAATGCACAATTAGAGGAATTATAAAACCCTCAACAAGATACTAGTGCAAATCTCAAATGGCTTTAAATGAATGCTTCCCACTCTGAATAATAGCAAATTGTGTAGTGGGTGCAGATAAATGTTTAGATACTTAGCCCTTGTTTGAGCCCCATTTTTTGGCCAAAATGAATTATAGAATAGTGTTTTGTCGGAGAATTTGTGATTAAAGGGTAAGTAAAAGTTTTAAATTTGCGTGTAAAATTATTTTATAGGAGACTGTGTAGTTGAAAATGAGATTTTGGAAAAATGGGGACCAAACATAGGCTTAATTGTTGAATAAGGACAGATTGACAAAGAAATTAAGTTTTACCGACAAAATTCAACAACTTGGAGGCCAAAAAAGGGCGGACCTTATGGGTTTATGATTAGCGTGAAAGCTCATTAGAAATGTATAAAGTGAAACATATACAATGGGCAAATTAAAACTTACCAGAAATAAACGAGCCAAGATACGACAATCTCAGCTACTACAATTTATACGTAAACTGCCAAATGCTAGAGCTTGTACTGAAAGGGGAAAGAAGTTCATTTATAATCTCTTCAAAGATATTCTCTTCAGTAGAGATATCATTATGAGCCTGTTTCGGAGCGATTTTTTCATTCCAAAAAATTGATTTTTTGACCGTTATTTCACTATTCCAGCCGTCATATTTGACTTCTTCTCTCACAAGTGGACCCCACTTTTCTCCTAACGGTCAAAAAATCAATTCTCAAAATCACTCCCCAACAGGCTCTATGACTTTTTGAAATTTTCCCTGCACAATTTTGAGGGTTAGAACTAGAGAAATATGAAGTTGGAGGCATCAGGCTGCTATTACTGTTTAATGATGTTGTCCCAATACTTGGGCATAGAAATAGAGCCATCACTCATGATGCTCAGGTTTAGAGCCACCAGTAATGGCTACCAACTCACCAATATTTATATCTGTAAGATAGAAACTGTTAATGCTACTTAATGCTCTTGTGCCAATATCTGAACTTGGAGTCAAATCAGTACCATGTTAAAGATTTTGACGGCTACTAAATGCCCTTGTGCCAATATTTGAACATGGAATTGAACCACTGTTGTGGAAGATTCTGAACTCTACTTAATGCTCTTATGCCAATATTTGAACTTGGAGTTGAAGCACTACTATAGCAAAGATGCAGGGGCTACTTAATGCTCCTGTCCCAATACTTCTACTTGGAGGTGAACCTCTACTATGGTCAGCATTTTGAATGCTGCGTAGTGCTCTTGTGCCAATATTTGGACTTGGAGTTGAACCACTACCGTGATCAATGCTTTGAAAGCTTTTTTATGTTCTTGTGCCAATATTTGAACTTGGAGTCAAACCACAACTATGGCCAAGATTCTGAGGGCTAGAACTACCAATATTTCTCACCAACATCGTACCTACATCTGAATTTGGAGGAACCTTTACCTGACTGTTATTGCTGCTAAATGCCCTTGCTCCAAAATTTGTACTTGAAGGAGGCCTCAAGCCATTATGATGGTCCAAATTCTGAGGATTGAAATGCTGCTATCATCCACTAACTTAGCACCAAAATTTGAATGTGCAGGAGCCAAGTTACTATTACTGCTTAATGATATTACCCCAACATCTGATCTTGGATGAGTCAAAAGCAAACCCTTACTGTTGCCCACTTCTTCTAAAGATTCCACACCAAGATTTAATCAAGTAGAACTAATGCAACCAACAACTTTAATGCCAACTTTTGCATTTGGAAATCTGTTCTTGTAACCGATAATTTTAGCCTTTCTGTATACAAGTTGGGAAGATAATACGTGAGAGAGAGAAAAGTCAAAAGCAGTAAAAAATAGAAAATAAATGAAGATTTGATTTCTGCTCATACCTATTCAGCTTCTGTTTCGTAGAAGCTGCATTTGATTTCAATTTACCTTTAAGAGAAAAGGACAAACTGTTAGCTCCAGTTTTATTTCAGCCACCTCTTGGCATAAGAAAAGTCATCGGTCCATATATGCAGAACAACAGTTGTTCAACGCATGCACAATCAACACCTACATGGATGCAGACTTTAAGCTTGTACATCTTTTTTTCTCTTATTCCTCAATGTTTTGATCCAGTTTCAAAATTATTGGGCTTTTTTGCAAGATGTAAATTGTAAAATATCATGCACAGTTCTGCATTACATTATGGTCATCATCACTATGGTTCCATGTTAGCTTAACACCACATTGACTCATGTTTCTTTCATTTGACTATGCAAGGAATTCAAGACAGCTTCAGTCTCTTTTATTTAACGTTTTAGGCTTTTAGATATAGACGAACTCCTTTCATTTTTTAAAAACTAATAAAGTTAGACTAAAGAGGAAATAACAAAAAGCAAGCAAATATTTAAATGCTGTCTTTGTAGAAAAGTTGATTTCGTGTTTTAATTCTTTCCCAAATGGTTAACAGCATTACCACCACCTACAGATTAAAACTGTCATTTTTCCTTTTCTAAGTGCTAGGAGCAATTTTCGTTTTTCAATATAA